AACCTTCCCTTTCTTCAACCTGATTTAAATCACTACCTTACTAAATTGTCTAACACTTATGGTCCCATCATGAGGCTCCAACTGGGCAGAAAGATTTGTATTGTCATAAGCTCCGCTTCGCTCGCCAAAATAATCCTAAAAGACAATGATGCAATCTTTGCTAACCATGACGTTTTAGCAACTTCGAAGATTCTATTTTATGGTGGGATTGATATTGTTTTCAGCCCTAATGGGCCGCAATGGAGGAAGATGCGAAAGATTTTTGTTCATCAACTGATGAGCAATGCGAGCCTTGATGCCTGCTATGCACTTCGCCAACAGGGAGTACGAGAAATGGTGAAGGATGTGCATATATAGCAAGGCCGGTTCCCCCATTGATATCAGCGAGCAAATGTTTATTATGGTGCTGAACGTAACGATGAGCATGGTATGGGGTGCTCCGTTGCTTGGGGAGGAAAGGAACAGCATAGGGCCCGAGTTTAGACGATTAGTGTAAGGACAGGTCCGAGGTGCCAAGCCTCGGACTGCTACAGTAACTCCTCTATGACCGAGGTGGGAAATAAACCCAAAACCTCCCGCTCAAATAGATGCATGACAGCAACCATAAGCATGCCCGCACCTGATTCCTTGTGATGAATCACACAGCAAGTATGGTGGACGCTTGTGCATCTGAATACCTCTCAAATTCCCGATCCCGAAATAATCGTCTGGATGAACACGTCAGGCTCCGATTATCTTGCTTGGCATGCCACGTGGGTTCCTCATTGAATCCTATAAATACCCCCCCCGGGCCATGTCAAAAGGTAATTGAAACCAACCTTAAGCTTTTCTTATCTCCGCCCTAAAGGTAGCACCGATTATTGCTGACTTAAGCATCGAAGTGTCTACCCCGAGTTCCACCTCGGGGCTTTGTAGGTCATTCCGAAGTGCAAGCGCGGACTAGAGAAGGACTTCGGGTCTGGTGCAATTACATTGGCGCCGTCTGTGGGAATCAAACTGAAAGCTTTCCAGCTGCTCTTTCATCATGGTTCACACTCGATCAGTCCGAGCTGGTAATTCATCTCTGCCTCATGGGCAAGGTCAACCCCCCAACAACCTCCCACCTCTGATCCCACCTCAACTTCCAACTCAACTTCCACCTCAGCTTCCACCTCAGGTCCCAATTATGTTCCCTCCTAGTGATCATGCAGAAGGAGGAGATGAAAATCAACCTCACGCCTCAGCTCACAACTCAACTTCCACTGCCAACCAAGACGTGGTTACAGCTCAGCTTGCTGCCATGCAGCAGCAGTTTGGTGTTTTTCAGTTGGTACTGGCTCAGCTTCTAGCTAGAAGTAATCCTGGTGATCCCCTCATTAATTTACTAAACCCTGCTCAACAACCCCCAGTTACACAACAAAACCCCCAACCGGTTCAACCCGCTCTCGCTATTAGTGAATCCCAAGCTCAATCCCACATTGCACTCGCTCAACAACCCATCCCTGATGATGTTACTCGCCGCCTTGATAGCCTGGAGAAGCTAGTAGCCGAACACCGAGGTGCTCCACCCCCACAACATGTTACTAATTCCATACCTCACCCCCTGAATACCAACATCACATTGGAACCCTATCCTACTGGCTTCAAAATACCACAGTTGGAGACTTATGATGGGACGAAGGATCCCGATGACCACCTGCACGCCTTTTACTCTTGCATGCAAGCTCAGAACGCCTCTGATGCGTTAATGTGCAAAATTTTTCCCTCTACTCTGCGAGGTAATGCTCGAACTTGGTATTATAGTTTACCTCCGAGGTCGATCAGCTCTTATACAGAAATGACATCTGCCTTTGCCACTAAGTTTTCCAGTAGAAGGTTGATTAGGAAAACTACTTCTGAGTTGATGAGAGTTAAACAGAGGGATGGAGAATCTCTGAAGAACTACATGAGCAGGTTTAATGATGTAGTTTTGGAGGTTAGTTCTTTTGATCAAGCTGTGGGAATCGCAGCTGTGATCGCTGGTCTCAAGCATGACAGATTCAGAGACAGTTTGATCAAACATGCTGCCACCACTTTTAGCGAGGTGAATGATCGATCTCTTAAATTCATAACTGCTGAGGAATATGCCCTGGCGCAAAATCCACCTTCCTCTAAGAACCAGAACCCAGAATGGAGGGATGACAACCTGAGCCGGAAAAGGATGAGAATGGCGCAGAATCGAGGTCCGGTGTTGACCTCCCCACCGAGATTCGGAAGGCCGAACTCAACACCCCAGCAACAGTCTGCAGGTAAACCTCCAGTTAATTGGACTCCATTTAATATGCCGAGGTCTCAAATTTTTATGCAGATCAAAAATAAG